TGAGAGAGGAGGGAAATATTAGCGTAGATCAACAGGGAAGATATATGCCTTGACAAGGAAAGAAATAATAAGTCATAGAAAGTGCATGTCGGGAATAGATAGATAGATCGATCGATAGAAAGATGGGTGGGTGGGTGGGTAGGTAGGTAGGTAGGTAAGTGGGTAGGTAGGTAGGTAGGTATGTAGGTAGGTAGGTAAGCGGGTAGGTAGGTAGGTAGGTAGGTAGGTAGGTGGGTGGGTAGGTAGGTAGGTAGGTGGGTAGGTAGGTAGGTAGGTAGTAGGTAAATATGGGCTACTACACGACCCAAGGGCGCTAACCTAATCACAGAAAACATAGGATAAAAGGAAAGATTCCGGATCATCGTTGCATTATTACGAAGTTCACTCTCTTCTGTCATAATGTATTTACAGTGTTGGGATCTTAATTTTCACCTTCGTAACCGACATCGAAACTTCCCTAGGAGGCGGTGTCAAAATGTTCAAAACGTTTATAATTAAATATTTACATATAGACCGGAAAAAAAATTTCTTGCCAAACCTTGGGGAAGGAGTAGTTCGCAAAGAAAGCAAAGGGGCAGATATTCAAGAGAAAGAAATGAACAAAAAGACAGCCCTAGCGGCTCAAATGAAAAAAAACCCCACAAAAAACATCGGACACGGTCGGTGTCATCTGCATAGAACTTCAAAGTGTCTTGTCGTGGCCCATACTCAAGGCCACGGGTCTGTATTACAGAACATAGCTTGTGCCTGACTTGACAGTGAATTGTTATGTCTGGCATGTTGGTGGAGCCGAGGGGGGGGGTTGTCTGGCCTCTAGCCAAAATGTCAAAACCTATGACATGTCAGAATAACACTGTATAGTGGTGCATGCCTTTACCTATTTAATAGGCTACACTCGCCAGTGCCTCTCAGCTCTAGCTCGAGAGCTTAACATCACAACAGAACAGAAGTACTTCACTAAGGGGCACATCTAAACGGAGGTCGATGGTATTCATAGCCTCATTGAGCGATTCTTCAGAAATGGTTCTTATACACGTACCTCTGACAACGTTAATGTCTTCAGATTGGGGCATCAAAGCCTTCGACCATACGAAGTCAAATACCTAAACTATACTTTCTTCAGCAAATTATATCCTTCAGTGCAACATTATTCGACTATTCGACAAGAAAAAAAGCCGAGGACGCAAAAGAAGTTGACATACGAGCGCTACCCTATTCCTCACAAGGGCACATTCAGTACAAGCTCGCTCTCTGTGACGACTGGCAAGACATGCCCAAACCCTGCAGCCACAACCTGCTAAGTACTGCTGACTGCCCCTACATCACACGTCTTGCACAGAAGACGAATCACAAGTACAAGTTCAACCCTTAATCCCGTAACCACGGAAAAACCGTTGATGAAGAAAATAGGTGAGGCATCGTGGTGAAACCAGGCGCTCGTCAAAATAATGAAATATTTTCTTCCCGCTGGGCAAATTTTATCGAATTTTTATATTTTGGCTCAACACATTTTACGTCAATTAAAAAAATCCTGTATGGATTTTACAGGTTAATGGCACTAAGACTGTAAATTTACAGTTTCCATGAACTCTTCAGCTTTGGAAGTAACCAAACTTTCGCGGCCATGTTCTCGCTAGTTTTACCTCTGAAACCAGGTGTATCCCGACCTGTTTCAGTCCAGAATATCCACTTCTATTGGAGGTAGATGGGTAACCTTTTCATAGAAAGCAAAACAAAATTACTGAACAAGCCATTAAGATGATACCAATAACTCAATGTGTCCCAACATTGACCAGCGCCTGATTCCACCGCGTTGTTACACACATAGAGTTACGTAATCTTAATCTTAGTCTGGTGAATATCTGTGAGGCGAGTACTTACCAAACGCTTCTAGAATTCTTGCTATTTCTAACAATCAGAAATTCTCTCACTATAACGCCAAACCTGGACAGATCACTCACAGCTGTGACTGTAGTTTGGCAAAGTATGTCTGCTCATCAGTCTGAACTAACTTATATAATGTTTTAAAATGATGAGTCTTGGTGAAATCTCAAGTGGGGGCTGACAATAGAGAGAGAGAGACATTGTGTCCACTTTATGTTTTCCATATTGGAAAAGAAATACACTTGACTTAAGTGAGCCAAGTGGTGTGACAGAGGTTTGCTCTCTCTCTCTCTCTCTCTCTCTCTCTCTCTCTCTCTCTCTCTCTC